GACCAAGGAATCAGGCAGCCCTTGCATCTTGACAGGGCATCATGGTATTCGCTACTTCTCTCAATGCTGCTNCAATGAATAAGTACGAGAAATGCCCCTTTCCTTTGCCCCAAAAGTCAAGGTTGGCCTTAAATGTTTCGTTACTCTTAAAGCAAGTCACTCATCTATTTCCAACTTGTGGCAATTCTTTTATCTATCCAATTCAAAAATTTGCCTGAACTTATAAAAAGATAATCTGCCTGAACTCCAAAAATAATAATAATAATTTTCCTGAACTCATGGCATCACACGCAGATCACGTTATATTTTACCCAACTCCATTATCTGAAAATGCATGAAATACGTACAACTGGAGAAAGAAAGAGACTTTTTCTACTGGAATAGAACTGAATTAGAATTAATGAAATTATTAGAAAGGATTCAATTATGTATTTTATCATCATTTGAAAATGTTGCAGAAAGTAGTAGCATAAGAAACCTAATTTACAAAGGCCTGTAACTCCATTGGTATTAGAATTATTCTTTTTAACTATAATTTCCTATATAAGCAAATGTATTTTGACAATTTGTTCTCTACAAGGGTCCTACAAGTATGGAGGAAAGACTTACACAGCATCAGCTATGTCTCAAGGATCAAGCCTGACAAATTGTAGGATGGTAGCCCTGAAGGCTCTGAAAGTTAATGAATCAGCATGCACCCACATGAAATGCACCTTTGGTGGTGTGTGGAACGGTGGAGGCGGAGATGGTCAGAAGAATATGTTTGTTGCCTCATTTTTCTTTGACCGAGCTGCTGAGGTAAAAGTCACTATTAAGTTAGATGCTTACCAAGATTTGATGGGTTTAGAATTGTATCGTTTTTTTGCTGTCCCAAGAAGGATAAATTCCCTACTTCTATGGCTATCTGACTATCTTAATTTACTGTGGGCATAGGTTGGTTTTGTTGATCCAAATGCAGCTGTTGCAAAAGTTCGCCCAATTGATTTTGAGAGTGCAGCTAGACGTGCTTGTGATACTAGAATCGATGATGCCAAAGCTACATTTCCTCGTGTGGACCCTGATAACTGGCCGTTCTTGTGCATGGATCTTGTCTACCAGTACACACTACTTGTAGATGGATTTGGTAAGACGAGAGTCAATCCTTCAGGAAATATACAAATCACACACTTATCATTTTTAGTATGTTTCAGTTAATCATTGTTTTCTGTATTGTACAGGACTTGATGCTCGTCAAGAGATGACGTTGGTGAAAAAGGTGAAATACAAGAATTCCCTAGTTGAAGCCGCATGGCCATTAGGCAGTGCCATTGAAGTCGCGTCATCAATGAATTAACTTTGGAGATTCAAGATTAACTCAGCCAGTTTTGCCTTTTATTAGCTTGTGGTTTTCACCTATCAGCTATATTCTACCTGCAACTGGGCAATTGGCTCATCGTGCTCTAGAACACAATCCTTGCCATTTAGTTGGATGCCTGGTCCGAGCAAATTCAGAATGTTTCCCCTTTTATTCAGAGAGGGTGGGTGATTAAGAATAATGATAACATCTGTTTGTAAGTATATTATAGGAAACACTGATTTGTTTCACGATATGATAGATTCACATATATTTACTTGATTCTTTTCATTCATTCCTCTTCGCCAGTTCCTACCCAACCACTTCTGAAAGATAACTGGAAATCTTTAACCTAGCAATTTCGAAATGCGAATTTGTTGAGTTGACTCTTGCAAGTATCCAACGAGACGAGCATATACATATTATATCACAAACTAGTTCCCTCAGCTGGCGGTCTTTATTCCCAATGAGTTGCAAAATCTCCTAAAATGTTCTTAATGGTATATTAGCTAAAGTAGGGGTGTTCGTCGGTCGATATGGTATGATATTTAGATATTTTGGTTCGGTATTTTCGATATTCGATTTTTTAAAGTATTATATCAATACCATACCAAATTCAATTCGGTATGGTTCGACTTTTCTTCTTTCAGTTTCGGTTTATTCGGTCTGGTAACTTCAATTTATTTAGCTTGAATATTAACTAGTGCATAAAGCCATAGACTGTAATATCCTTAAGTAAGGCACTCACAAATACAAAAATAAAATATTATAATAGTGAAACAAAAGAGAGATGGAAACCAAAAAGGCTAAACCTAGACGGGAGAAAGATTGGAACGTAAGTAGACAACCAAACAAAGGGGGAAAAGGCAAGTATAGTAGGAAAAAAAAGATGGTAAAGGTCAAAGAAAACTATAAAAATAACCATAAAAACATAAAAAATTAATATTTATGTTATAATCGATAATATATGCATTGTGTAACTTAGTATTGGTATTTCAGTATTTTATTTTTAAATACCGAATACCATATCTAATATCAAATTTTTAAAAAAATCTTAAACCAAATACCATACCAAAAATCCAAAATATCGAAGTTGCGAAAACTTCTGGATAGGTATCCTACATCTGAACCGAATTCTTCTGGTTAAAGAATCTCTTTCTAGTTGCTCTGGAACAATTAGGAGATTCTCTAGAAGAAATACGGGGTTCTGCTTCTGGCGGCAACATGCTTGGTCCCGCTTATGGGGTCAAATCAATACGTTCTAAGAAGAAAGATTGGAATATCAATCTCATCGAGATCATCGATCTCATACCAAATCCCATCAATCGAATCACTTTTTCGAGAAATACGAGACATTTAAGTCATACAAGTAAAGATTACTAAAATCCAAATTATCGAATACCAAATACCAAAATTTTCAATTTCGCTATGATAATTCGGTATTTATCATATTATGCATAGACCTAAGCTAAAGTAGAACTATAACATGAAAAAGAAAAATGAAACTGTTTACCCTAAAATCTGAGTAACAATTAAACTTATATTGTGGTTTTAGAAATATGTGATTTAGTCCAATACCAATTGATAAACAAGAAATTAAATATCTAAATTGAAGAAATAAAGCAAGTCAAACCACTGTGCAAACCAAGTCTTGACCTCGAGTTATGGTGGCTTCGAGGTAGGTTAGCAAGAACCATAAAATTATAAGGCAACTCTGATGAATAGTAAGCAAGGAAGTGAAAAATGTATATTCCTCTGTCAATGAAATCGTGTGTTACAAATGATTGGGCTTCCCTTTATATAATAGAGGGGGAATCCTAAATAAGGTACACTTCTACTTATAGTAGGGAATCTTATTGGACAGTTATCTAGCCACCTAGTACAAATCCGTTTTGGAATGTACGTCGTGATCTTAGGACCGCTGCGGGAATCTCGCTCTTTTTGTTATTAAACCATAACGGTATTATCTCGAGGTTGGTCATACTCGGCTTCGGTGTTCATCGAGCACTTCGATCTTCAAGTCCTGTACTCAGCCATCGAGTCCGAGCTCGGTCCGTTTTGAATTTATTCTCGAAGCGACTCCTCGAGCCTACGAAATCGGGCGTACCTGATTTTGACCGCATACAGAAACCAAACTTGCAATTTGCCGCCTGCTCGTTAAGCCGTTTTAACTGTTAGCCTCTGCTGGTCTTCAGAATAGAACAGGAAGAAATCCACGAGAAGAAAACTACTCTTAGAAAATAGACAAACAAAAGAGCTTTTTCCAGAAATTGAAATTTTTATGTTTCTTATTTTTTTCAGAATAATCTATGTATAAAATCGATTTCGTTGTTGATTTCTCTGTGCAAATTACTAACTTGCAACCAAAAAAATTCAAATTTATTTTTGATTTATGCTATTTGGAGTTGGGGAGAGAAAAATTAGAATTTTCGAATTGCATTATGGTTGATTTGCATTTTTTATCAAACGCTTGAGAATCAAACCAAGTTAAGAGCGCGAAAAAAGCTAGTGGTACGAAGAAGAAATAATAACAGTATTTAATTGTGACTTTTCGAACCTTGGCCTATTATCTTCTGACTATAAATTTACAAAGTTATGGCCGGTAACTTGGCTGCAATTTATGTGTATGGCCAGTGATGTGTAATTCTCTCATGATTGTGATTTGTCAATAAGCCAAAGAGGACAAAGAAGAGGAGCCTTTTCAATTTCTTTTATATTGCATCATTACAGTCTTTTTTTATACATGCAAAAAAGCGGTAATTAGATATGTGTTTCAGAAGTTTTATATTTGAGATCGCTGATTAATAATGAAAAAGTACTTATAATTTTACCATAAACTTTGTTGTTCTTTTTGTGTCCTTAATGTCATATTAAAATAGAATTTCCACATAAGAAAAAATTTAAAAAGTACAAGTGTGAATTTTATGAAAAATAAATATTTTTGTGCATTATCTTGATAATGCCATAGATTATGTAATTAAATATTAAATTAGCTAGCAGGTTTAAAGTTTTGTCCCACACCCAAAAAAAAAAGGTAACCTGAGTCGGTGATTTATGTAATTATAATTTATAATCCAAGTGGGTTTCGGAAAGAATGAGAGTAGGGGAAATCTATATAAGAGAACCTCATTCAGATTTGAGGCAACAATTCTCTCAAACGCCACAAAAATATTTGCTTCCGTCGCAATTTCAAGCGGCTCTCGTGTTCTCTGCTGTGCGTACTTTTGAAGAATCAGTGCTTTGATTCATAACAATTCTCTCAAACACCACAAAAATATTTGCTTCCGTCGCAATTTCAAGCGGCTCTCGTGTTCTCTGCTGTTCGTACTTTTGAACAATCAGTGCTTTGATTCAATTCCATTCATCTAAACTCTCGGCGTTTTCTGTCGATAAATTTGCATTGGTTGTTGTTCGTGCTGGGTACGGATTGAAACCTTAGTGCCGACTGAAGCTTGTGGAAGAATCGTGAGTTCGTCAAGAGAATTAGCTGATACGACTCTGTTTGGTGTTATTTTGGTACAACTCTGTATCGATTCTGTTTGTATTTGAATATTTTTATTGTTCTTGATTTCTTTTGTACGAAGGAATTGGCTTATTGTATTCTTGACAGGGCCTCATTGTTATTATTGTTCTTGATTTCTTTTTTCCTAGGAAAAAGAATTCAATCATGGCTGTATATTTCAAGTATAAAAGTGCTAAAGATTATGATTCAATTCCGATTCTTGATCAATTTATTTCTGTTGGGAATTTGAAATTAAAAATATTTGAATCCAAGCGTTTCGGTAGGGGTAAAGATTTTGACCTTCTTATCACCAACGCTCAAACTAACGAAGATCATGTAGATCAAGACACTTTGATTCCTAAAAATACAAGTGTTTTGATTCGTCGTGTTCCTGGTTTACCTTGCTTGCCCATAGTAATCCCATGTCTTACAGAGCCAAAACTAGACCAAGCCCAAGTGTGTGAGGAGGATAATACAGTAGTAAAAGGAGAGTCAATTGCTGCTAAGAATTATCAGGATATTGATTACGATGATTTTGGGGATGATATCTATGCAATTCCAAAATTGATCCCAAATCATTCAGGCAATCCAGTGTTAAATGCCCCCACTAATAGTATAAATGATGAGGAGACTAAGATCAAGAATTTAATTGATACTCCAGACTTAGGGCGGCACCTCCATTCCTCTATCGGCTATGGCTTTGGTCGAGGTGGGATGGAATGGAAAAAGCCACCACGGGGTTATGTGTGTCATCGATGCAACGAGCCTGGCCATTTCATTCAGCACTGCCCTACGAATGGTGACCCCAATTATGACATCAAGAAAGTGAAGCCTCCAACAAAGTCCAATGACGTTGCTTCTTCAAAGGAGGTTCAAGGGTTTTCTTCCTCTTCGTCTTCTTCTAAGCGTTCCTTTAGTAATATACCACCGGAGCTACATTGCCCATTGTGTAAAGGATTAATAAAAGATGCAGTTATAGCAAGCAAATGTTGTTTTAGTAGTTTCTGCGACAAATGTATAAGGGAACATATTATCTCTAACTCTATTTGCGTATGTGGGGCTAGAAATATACTCGCTGACACCCTCTTGCCTAACATGACTCTAAGAGACACAATAAACAGAATCAACAAGTCTAATAGCAGTAGTTCAGTGCATGGGGTTAGTGCTCCTCGAGTTCAAGATATGGTGTCAGAACACAATTCCCTCCCTAAAGTACCATTCCCATCAGAGTCTGCAGCTGTGAAGGTAGAGGTATTATCTGTACCTTCTCAAAAAGGAGAGACTTCTAGGGCTTTAAAGACTGTAGAAGAGTGTCCAATAGCTGTTGGGGAGGCAGTAAAGATGAAGAAAAGGAAGAAACCAAGCATGCCTTTTGATGGTGCTGCTGTAAACAAGCGATGGATAGTTGCTCAAGACCATGTTGTTGCTGAGAATTACATGTTGACCATGAATGCTGCTGCCTATCATCCTCATTGGACAGGCATGCAATATACGAGCTATGGCCATAGTCCAATAGATATTCAGTTTGGCCATCCTGTCTTACCAAGGGCGACTCCACCTCTAGGCCAATAAAGCTCTTGGTTTAGACCCCTAAAATTCAATGCCCCTATAGCTAATCAGAGAAAACAAAGAGTGGGAGTCTCTTGCCGAAGCTGCCAAGAATTGCAAACCTAGTGTCATTCAATTCAACAATTTGTTTTTGCTTTCCTTTTGAATGTTTCTAGGCTTCTGGTCCTATATTATATTTCCACAAAAATCATGTATAACAGTCATGAATGTCTTCAATGTACTCTAGTTTGGACCTGTCTTAGCAGTCTGCGGTCCTAGCAGCATTATGCTTGCATTGTTAAATCTGTAGCTACGTTTAATCTGACAATAAATACCATTTTTATTTGGTTTGAAAAAATAATTGTTATTACTTCTTATTAATGATAAGTAAGCCATTCTCACCATTTGTTGCCAGCTTGTTACCTATCACTAATCATCAATTATCATCAGATAATTCCTACTTTATGCGGTGTTTTTGGGATTTTGTTGAGGGTAATTATAAATGAAACTGGTAGATGATTAAAACTGCAGTTACTTCCTGGTTCTTTCCTCTTATTGGCTGAAACTTAGAGCCCGTTTGGATTAGCTGATTTGAAATAGCCGATAAGCATTAGGAGCTGAAAAGCACTTTTAAGTGCTGAAATTGATTTAATAAATAAGCAGTTACGTGTTTGGGTACAAGTGCTGAAATTGATAATAAGTTGCTGCGGTATTTGATAAAAAAGTGCTGATAAGCTCTTTTTCTGTTAAAATGACTTAAATAACCTTAGAACTGCTTACACTTATAAGGGCGTAATTTCTTCAAAATTTTAGATTACAGATCGATTCAAATATAAAATATTCTATTTGTCATTGTATTTTAAATACAACTGTGCTTAGATAAGATAATTTTTATGATAAATATAATTTATTATATGATAAGCATATAATCATAAGTTATAGTAATAGTTAATAAATTGATAAAAGTTTCTCAATAAAAAATAAACCTAAATAGGACAAATTATTTGAAGAGAAACAAACATTGTCTTCATCACCACGNAACTTAAAGTGCTTATAAGCTAAAAATTCATAAGTTGGGGTGACCAGCTTATGGCTTTTGGCTTATTTTTGATTTATAAGCACTTTTAACTTTACCAAACGCGTAGATAAGCCGAAAAGTGCTTATAAGCTAATTTGACCAGCTTATAAGCTTTAGCCAAACACCCTCTTAATTGAATCAACTCTTTTACAACTTTGGCTTTGTAAAGTTTCTTCTTTAAAATAGAACAAGGTTCAAGCATGAAGAGAAAGGAAAAATGAACAAAATCACTGAAATGGACACTTTATACTTAGTAGTGGGGACGGCCTTTACATCTTTTGCAACACGTGTTATCAATAATGTGCTTATCTTCTTTAATTTTCTGGCCACGGTTGCATTCCAGTGATTCCTTGATTAATCGAATGATTTGGCTTTTATGGAATTTCAAGGGCTTCTATTGCTATGAAACAGGGACAAATGTCATGGTTGTAGTTGGATTTCTGTTTACACCATATACAGTGAAAGAAGCAGGTTGGGCAAGCATGGTAGTGCTTGTTCTTTCTGCATTAGTCTGTTTTTATACTGCTGGTCTTATGTGATATTGCTTTGAAAGCAAAGAGGGAATCACGTTGTTCCCCAACATGGGAGAAGCTGCTTTTGAAAACTAAGGACGTATTTTATTATCTGTAAGTTTATAAATTCAGCGTATTACTTAATTACAGGTTAGGTCTATCGGAAATAGTCTCTCTATCTCTATAAGGTAGGAGTAAGGTCTGCTTACACACTACCCTCCCCAAACCCCATTTTTGAGAATATACTGGATTTGTTGTTGTTATTGTACTTGATTATAGGCTAGTGGATCAAGGAAATATTTGGTTGTTGCTTCAAAGACCATAAGGTCTCTTTTCTTTCATCTGATATAAATACAGCTTATTGCCTAGTGGCCAGGGGATATTTGTTTACTATGTCAAAGGCCCTGGCAGCGCCTTATTCATTTATCGTGACTAAGTGACATACAAGCCCAACAAAAAGTTTGCTACTCTCAGCAATTATAGATGAACTAATGTCCCCTTTATTTTCTGTTTAACAAAATCATTTGACAAGTCCTCAGATGTCAGAACTATAAGTATCCATCTGAGTGCATGAAGGGTCTTGGTCATTTCGGTGACTTGAGATAAGAGGAAAGGGGGGAAAGCAAAATAAACAAGTCAATGAAGTGTAAAGGATCAAGTATGTCGGAGTACAAAATGAATATAGCCAATAATCAAGTGGTGGTTTCAAAATGACTGAATGTTACCCCTATGGTTTTCTTGGTTTTGAGCAGATTATTTTGTACATGGAGCTATATGTAATAGATGCAATCCTCAGCCAGATTTGCAGGTTGTTTGGTTTTGTTTGACATTGCTCAGTTCCTTATAAGTCTTCCTTGACTTGGCAGTCCTCTTGTGTAGAATTTATTATACTTGAAGGAGATAATCTCACGCTACACCCAGGAGCACACATTAACTTTGTTTTGTTCTCGATTGGATTCCATGCACTTGTTTCCATCATTAGAGTTCTTGTCATTCTTACCACAGTTTGGTTCAAAGATTTACGATTAATCTCTTATCTTTCAGGTTTCCAAATAGTTCTGCAGCTAACAATTTTTAGTTCTTTATCAGATCATAATACTTAACTGCTCTTTTTTGCAGTTGGAGGTCTTATTTTGACAGCTTTAGTTGTTGTATATCTTCTCTTATAAGAAGTTCTATTCATTGTTTTCGATATTCTTACTTCTTGTTGAATTCCTTAACTTTTCACAAATATTCCTTGTTACTGAACCCATTAGCAAGAAGTATCAAGGAGTTGCTGCCTTCAACTTTAGCTAATAGTTACTGCTTTTTCATCGTCCTGAGGAAAAATTATGTTATGTGCATATTCTGTGACTGAAAGTGATATTTTAATGCAGTGATACTAGGAGGAGAATTTTTCAAAGTAACTCTGGTTTCTTGAATGGCCTGGGGTTGGTTGAAGGTTTCAGTTTGATCTTTCTTTGCGGTCCACTGTACTGTATGTACTATGCTACAGACAAGATTCTTTTGTTGCTTACCTGTTACTGTTTCCCATATTATTTGTCCTACACATTTAGGATTCCTTAGTTCTGACATACTATGTTATGCTAGCAAATAATGAGATTTCATGTTCTTTAAGGATTGAACTGAGATATGAGAAAAAGAAGAAAAAAAATAGTTTTCATAATATTTTAGGTGAAGTTTTCATAACTTTGATAAGTTATGTATAGTCAAACATGCATATATAAAACATAGATTAATATGCTGATAATATAATAACGAAAGCACAGTATGTATAGATATTAAAATCAAACCAACACATATATATCTTCGACCCCAATATTGGGGTCTGTCTTTGAGTTGTTCCTGTGTGTATTTTGTGTATATTCTCTAGTAGCCCCTTAGTTATTTATTTGTTTGTGATCAAAGTGCTAAGAATATTTTCAATAATCCGATTATTTGAATAGCAAACCACATTAAAAAAATAAAAATAAATGATACGTACCCACTTGAATGAAACTGCGATAGACTTGCTTTTATAAATGACTAGTCTTAGGGTACGCGTGTACCTATATTAATAAATACACAAATTTTAAAAATTACATACATGTTATTGGATAATTTGTTTGAGTTATAAAATATAATTTAAGATTTTTTTTAAAATAATAAATATTATTCCTATTTAGTTAGCTTAATAAATTAATTAATTTTATTTAGATGCCTTATTGTTATTTTGTTTGGACTTATGTCCAAACTTATGAAAATTGTTGATATTTACAATTCTTTAAATATTTATCAAATAACATAAATTAAAAATTAAATCTCTTGGTCTCTTAAAACTTTGCGAAAGAAAAAATTGGCATTATACCTCTTAAGAATTTGATAGTGACAATGTAAAGCATAAAGAATGAGTAATATTGAACTAATATTTTACAAGAAAAAATTTAGTATAAAAATTGTAGCAAGACGTTTTCATTTGTTAGACTGAATGCAAGAAAGAAACAAATGATAACTCATTTATAATCTAGTTGCCTTCTACAATTTTACCTTATTGCTTAAAATTTATTTTTTCACCGATTTGAATCTTTTTTTTTACTATAATTATTTTTCTATATTTTATGATTTCTTTCACTGTTAATATTCTTCTTACAAAAATAAAATTTATGTAATTTAAGTGTTTTGACAATTTAACAAAAAAAAA